AGTATGGGGTCAAGAGTAGAGCCTCGCTATCCAGCCCCCAGTGCGGTCAGGCGTCCAGCCTGAAGAAATTCAAAAAGCCCTTTTTAAGCTGAAGAATACCAGGTCGTATGATGCTATTTCGTGCATGTATGAGATGTTAAGAGAAGAGCATAGACGTGTTAATATATATGTTTAGTGTGTGAAATGTTAAGAGATATCTTATGGATAATTGATAAGACTAGGAAATGTTAATGGATAAGTTAAGGTTAAGAAGTGTTTTATAGATAAGTAATAGATAAGTTGTATTAAGGTTAAGAAGTGTTTTATGGATAAGTGATAGGTTAGATTAAAGTTATGAATTGGTTTTATATATTAGGTTTGTTAGGATTAATAATTCTGATATTGAATTGTCTGTGTGATTGCCTATTATCAATCCCCCATGCCTATTAAGATTGTAAACCCCATTGATGTATTGGATATTGGAGTTGCTGGTAAAGAATCATTATAAAACAATTCTCTTGCTTGGTCTGGTCACTCATCGTTCTCTGGGGAGAAGGGCACAGAGTCCTCATAGATATTACTCGAAAAGAACCTGGAGCTGAAGTCTCCTAGCTCGTAACACAGAGAGGAAGGGGAGAGGGATTCAGGTCGAGGACCAAGAGGGCCGTGAGATTCTCAATAGCTGGAGGCCTGAGACGTGGGTCTTTTTAATCATTCTTTTGGTTTGGGGATGGAGTTCAGAGGACCTTAGGAGAAGGTGAGGGTTTTAGTTTAATTTTAAAATATTTATTGACTCTCTCAAGGGGACTGCTCTTTTGTTAGTTTTAGGAGCAAGAATGAAATTCTCAATAAGTCCAAGGCAGAAGCCCTGGGCTGCCCTGACATGGATGGACAGGAGCGGACAGAGGTTCGGTTTGTGCCAAGGGGCCAGGGCTGGAGCCTGCGATTTCTCCACCCTCTGCATAGGCACATTTCATTTTAGGTTCAAACCCAGAAGGGAAGGCGACCTCAGGTTCTCAGGGCGTCTTGGTTACCTAGCATCTGGTGCCCATTCCTGGGTAGATGGGAGCTGTCACACCTATTTGGACTCTGGATGTGGTTGGTGTGTAGGAGACGGGGTGTGGGGGAGGGGTGGTCCACAGTGACGAAATAGAGAGGAAGTGTGGTGGTCAAATGTTTCACTGAGACCTGAATCAAGCCTCTCTAGGGTTTGGTAAAGGACCCCTTTGGGAGCCGGTACACCCAGGATTGTGGGGGGAGTCTTACAGAAGGAGATGTGACCTCCTCCTTGGTTGCGGCAAGGGTCACGGCAGGATATTCATTCCTTACATTTCTGGAACAGGTCAGGGCTACTCAAAAGAGGAGTCGATGAGAAACTATCCTCCTTAATCAGTCATCAGAATAATTTTTTTTTTGTCCTGAATACATCAGGACAAAGTTTCCTGAACAATAATGTCACAGATCTACAGAGGCATCAGGACTCTGAAGGGTTGGAATAAACCCTGACCAAGTAACTCTCTGCCCCACTAAGCCTTAGGGCCTAAGGCTTGTTGAACCCCCTGCCCCTGTGTTGAAACTCCAGGCCTTTCCCCTCAGTGCCCTTTCAGACTCAGTCTCCCACAATCACCCCCATCCTGATAGCCTGGGCAGGTCAGATTCTGAAGATAAAGCAGCCTTCTCTGGGTAAACAACTCCAGGAGGAGAAACTACAGGTTTGCACTTCCCAGTTCCCAAACCTTCTACACAAACCCAGAGTTTCTCCTTCCCCTTTGGCAGACACCTTTCCTCTTTCCTGTTGTGTCTATCCCCCCCCCCCCCCCCCCCCCCCCGACACCCCCAGGTCATACTGGCCTCTTTTTTGCCTCCTGTCTCTAAGCTGCCTGGGAAATCTAGCACTTGGCCTGCAGGTTACTGTTCTCAGTGCCTTCCCGCCTTCCCACCTAGTCCTCCTGCCTTCCCGAGACACAGGGCATCGCTTCTCTAGGTTATCATGGGGGGGGGGGGGGAACCAACTGAGCCCACATGGTTGCTCTATAAGCCTGAGGCCAGACTGATACAGTAAAGGCCGTTCTGCCTTTCAGGCGCCATAAAAATGTGCTTCAGGCTCTCTGGTTCTCAGAACTGAACCACGTTAGCAGAACAGAAGCCAGACTCTCCCTGAGGCAAAACTGCACTTCAGCTGATACTAGAGGAAGGCTCTGGTCTTAGCACAGGAATGCCTTGGCCACCCAGCGGCAGCCCACCCAGGAAGAGTCTTGGCCCTGAGGTGCGGAGAGCTACTCTTCTAAACCCTTGAGCAACACAAATGCAGACACACTGACTTCATCCCTGACCTTTCGTTATTATTTCGTTTTTTTAAAGACAGAGTTTTTCTCTGTAGAACTCACTCTGTAGACCAGGCTACCTTTGAACTCAAATACCTGCCTGCCTCTGCCTCCCGGTGCTGGGACTAGAGGCACGTACCTTGGGACTAAAGGCACGTATCTCTCCCAGCTTCATCCCTGGCCTTTCCCGTTTGTGTACGAAGCTAGTTACCTGCTCCCTAGCCTCCATTCCTCCTCTCTTGTTTTGTAGTCACTGTAGCTGTCTCCCTTCTCCCCTTCTCATGCCACCCAGGACTGGTTGTGTAACAGTGTCAAGTCTTCTGAGAAACAATGATTAGACCCGAAAGTAGAGGGGTGGGGAGCCCGCAGACCTGGAAAGCGTGTGTGTGTGTGTGTGGGGGGGTGTTATTCCTTATGCTCTGGTCTCTTTAAGGACTAACCACGCCCACTCCCAGTCACTTCTGACCTCCTGGTCGCCATCTTAACTTTTTTTTGTCCCCGTCTCCTAACGTGTGCACACGTGTCTCTGTTTTTCTCTCTATGTTTGTCTTTATGTCTCTCTGTCTCCCTCTTTTTAAGTAATAAATGTCTCCCTCTTCTTTAAGTAATAAATATTCAGCTTTATGTTTACCCTTATGTCTATTTATTATGTCCTGTAAGTCTTTATCTGGCCTGCTCTTTGGGCCGCATGGCGGGACCAGCTCTGCCGCTCGCCCGGGAAACCTGCGCCCGTTCTGGTGGCAGCCTCTGCCTGGACTAGCCTGCCTCGGTCACTCGCCAACATATTATCCTTTTAAAGAACAATAGGGGGCATCAGTTGTACTGCTCTCTGGTGAATTCATCATCTTAGCCAAGATACCTATAAAAACTGCCAAATAAATACTGCAAAACAAGAAATTCACATCTTTTTATCTCCCCACCAAGTAAGACTTTTTTTCTTTCTTTTTGTTTTGTTTTGTTTTTTGAGACAGGATTTCTCTGTGAAACAGTCCTGGAACTCGCTTTGTAGACCAGGCTGGCCTCGAACTCACAGAGTTCCGCCTGCCTCTGCCTCCCGAGTGCCGGGTTTAAAGGTGTGCGCCACCACCGACCAACCCAAACAAGACTTTTAATCAAAAATTTTAATAACCTTTCCACCCGGCAAAATATTTGTTTACACAAAGGCCCTGCTGTATTCTGGGAACTCTATGGCCTGGAACAATGACCCCTGACCCCTTGGAGCAATGGCCTCTTCCTTTCCTCCTTCAGTTCCTGTGCACTAATTCTAGTCAATTGAATGTGACTGCGAGGACTCTAGGCAATGGGGGGAAAAGCGATCACCCCTTGAGTGAGATTAAAAACCAATCACACTTCCTGTCTGGGTGTGTTCGCTCTCCTAGCAGCAAAGTTCCCCGTGTCTGGGCACTACAGCTGGAACTGTGGTCTCTTTCTTTGCAACCACAACTTATCTCTAAGGCTTTTAAAGCCCCTTTCCCAAGAAACAGGAAATCCTCCTGGGTTGTGGATGCTGACTCAGCAAAGAGCCTTGTGATAAAATGAGAGCTTTAGAGAGGAAGTGAGATTTCGGAGTTGAAAATGGATGTTTTGGGTATTCGAATGAGTGTTCACTTTAAAGCCCTGGCCCTCCTCCCTGGCTGAGGGATGGAAATACCTCTGGGATTTTCTATTTAAAATTTCTCCTTTATTTTGACATTCACTTGGTTGTGTTCCAAGTTATCAAAGATGCACGACAGGAAATCTGCAGCCGTAGAGGAGTGATGCTGAGGATGGTGGAGAGGACCAGCTATTCCCTGGCTCCTCCTCCTTTTCTTCCTGTTCAGGGTTCCATTTGAAGTGTATAGAGTGTGTCTCATGTGCAGACGCCACAGCTAAAAGGACCGCACGGCTGAGCTGGGTGAGCTTTCCCTTCCCCAGGATGGAGACCACGATGCTACAGTGAGACGAGGTGGGCAGGTGACCCGCAGCCTACGGTGGAGCCTGTGCCTTGAATGAGGTGGGCTGAAGGGAAGGGTGTGTTCCTCCTCCGCTTTGACACGTGGGATCCAGACTTGAACTTGTAGGTTAAGCCGAGAGAGCTGCAGGAGATGCAAAGGCAAAGGGGCCTTTGTACTCAGAGACCCCGAGTCGGGAAGTGGGTTACAGTCGGCTGAGTCGGCTGGGTTGCCCTGCTTTACCCACAGGCGTTGGTATGATGGTGGCACTGCGATTCGGAGTGGAAGAAATTACAGCTGTGGAACCACAGGAGTGCAAGGCACTGGGCTGGTGGTGAGGAAGTGGGGAGAGCTGCTAGGCCCAGCAGCAAGTCAAGGGGTTGCGCATAACCCATGGGCAGATGGCGGGATTGGGTGCATTGGAGCTGCGGAGCCATCCCTTTGCACCAGGAGACACAGCTCATCAGCCCTGCTGCAGTGCCTTCCTGTGCAGTGCTTGGCAGTTGAGGTTGCTCCATAGGGGCTTGGGAAAACATTTTGTTGTTTTTGAGACAGAATCCCAGGGAGCCCAGGTTGACCTTGAACTTGCAATATAGCCCAGGATGACTGAACAACTACCATCTTTTTCCCTCTACCTCCCAAGTGAAGGAATCAGAGGTGGGCCTCATCATGCTGGGTTTCTGTGGCGCTGGAGATTGGAACGGGGACTTCGTGCAGACCTGACAAGAACGCAACCAACTGAGCTACAGCCCTAGCCTGACTTGTTTGCTTTTCACCAACAACTGAAATAATTTCCCTTCCTAATCCTGTGGGCTTTCTCCCACCCCTTTTGTGGTTTCCAACCCACATCAGATACTCCTGTGCCCAGGATCCATCCAACCCTGGCCAACCAAGGGTTCAGGAGCAAGACCAGCCCTTCTGCTGCCCCACCCTCAACAGCATTCTGTGACTCAGGAACGTGCAGGCATTAACATACACCCTTAGAAGTGGGGACAGTGACCCTTGAGCCACAGAGGTAGCTGGAGAATTTATCAGGCAGACTTACTAAACAAAACAAAGCAAAACAAAAACACCTAAGCAAAACAAAGCAAATAAACAAACAACACAAACCCATAAGGCCACTGCTAGTTGACAAGTGGGAGGTGTGGGGACTTGGGGATCAGAGTAAGACAGAAAAATAGCTCATCATCATGAGGCTGGAGGGTTAGGGGGCCGAAGGAGGGCAAGCAAACATGGAGTGTAATTACTAAGACACAGCCAGCCTTCAGGAGACCCCCGCCTCAGAACTCAGGGGAAAAGGCTACATCCCCTGATGGGATAAAATGGTCCTGTTCTTAATGTCACATCACAGATGGATGCTCAAGGGGTGCAGCAGCCTCTAGAGGAGCTTGTGCAGGAATGGGCATGCACACACCCTCACAGGGCTGAATCTCCATCTGTGGCTAAGTGTGGAGGAACGAGGTAATCAGTGAGATCTGCTCGCTAGGTTTATTGGACTGCAGCGATTGAAATCTGGGGAAGGTTCTCTGGCAGGGGGCATAAGGAAGGACTGACGGGGAGAGACAAGGTTGTGTAGACTCTCCTGGCTGTGATCCCACAAACAGCTGTGTGTCACGGCGCTTGGCCTCAATTTGATGTGTTTCATGAGGAGGGGCAAGATAGCAGATGTGGTGTTCTCAGAACTCATATGCCTATCAGAGCAGGCAAATAAAGTTAAAAAAAAATAGAGTGTAAATCACCTCATGGGTGAATTCCAGCCAGCAAAACTGGGGGCTCCTTTAACACTTTCTCCTCTTTCTCCTCTCAAATTCTGGAATGTCTAGTCCTCATCTTTCCCTTTGTGTCCATTTCTTCTTTGTGTCCATGCCCACTTGGTTTCCCACGGTCTCTGGAAGCCTCCAGAGCCTTTGCTTAGGCTTTACCCGGCGTTCCTTCGCACAGCCCAGCGAAGCCAAGGGTTTGGGCTTACTGGGAGGTGTGGTAGAGCTTGACTGTTAGAGGGAAGAGTCAGAGAGAAACTGGGGACATTGCAGGCTTATTAGGTCGCCACTTCTGGGCCATCGATCCTGCCCCGGTCCTTGATGCATTTACTAGCTCACATCCTAGTGAAGAACCTTCTGCTATGGAAGCCAGAGAAACTGAGACGGTTCCTGGTGGGGGACTACTGGAGGTTCCCCTCCACTCCACGGCTCCTGCTGGGACAGTGTTGGGTGTGTGCAGATTGGGGTGAAAGGATTATACATCTGTACTAATAGCCCTTGGATTAGTGAAGGCCTCATGCCCAGAACTTGGCCAGGTCACCGGGTAACTCTGAGGTGCTGCCAATTTGAGGGATGGGGTCCCCCCCTCTTTGTAATGTGTAGGGGCAAAGGAGAGCCTCTCGCCTCCACCCCCATTGGGCACCATGTCAGCTGTCCGTATGTAAAAGGGGGTGCGGTATGGGGAGCAAGTGGTGCAGTGGCTGGCCACCCCACACGGCTGGCTGCAGGGCTCGCTGGTGAGAGGTGCCAGATTGCCTCTGCCATCCAGGACTTGGGAGCTGCAGGCATTGCAGGTGGGGGCTCGGGGATGAATGGAAAGGTCGTGTTCTTCCTCTTCCTCCTCCTCCTCCTCCGCATCCTCATCGTCTGTACTCTTCTTGCAGCAGTAATACTGGGGGGAGAAGGAAAAGGGGTGCTTGAGAGGCAGTCCAGCTCCCCTTCCTCCCATCACAGGAACAACCCTCCCCCATCTTCTGCCGAATACCTCGCCTCGCGCCAGCCACTTTGTTAGTGAATGGGGAATATACTCTGGCGTCAGAGACCCACATCCCATTTACTCTCAGCTTTACCAAGCCAATATTTCTCTTTCTCAATATATCCTGGTGGGCAGGGAAGCAGAGAGGGAGGCTCATACACCAATGCAAGGACAAGGCTGGAGGCTGCTGCAGTAGCCTTCAGAGTCTCCCAGGATGGTGACTTTTCTACCAACTGGAGAGGTGAGTGTGAGAGCCCTGCATCTTCCCAGGACACTCCAGTGCCTCTGTAGGGTAGAGGGAACGTGTGTGTGTGTGTGTGTGTGTGTGTGTGTGTGTGTGTGTGTGAGAGAGAGAGAGAGAGAGAGAGAGGTGCACAGCTCCCTTCTGAACACACTCAATTTTCAGCCTCCTTGATTTATGCTTCTCTTATTTTACAGCTTCGGGTTTTGTCGCCTCCAAAGTGGACCTCCACTTTCTGCCCTCATCATGGAGAGGTGGCTTGCTGGTGGCCTCCCAGCCTCTGCCTATAGCCCGTGGAACTAACCTGGAGCCTACAGTAGCACAGGACAGCAATGATACAGAGGAGGATCACGGTAGCTAGGATTCCGCCAGTGATCACAACCGTTCCCGCTGTCATCCGCCCGGCGCCCCATCAAACTCTGCAAAGACGCATGCCGGGAAGTGAGGAATAGTCGATCCACATTCTCTGCACAGTAGTAGGTAGGAGGACAGGAGCTGAGTGGACCCAGGCCCGCATGGGCTTCCTGAAGGCAGAGGACTTGCTATGCTTAAACCAGAGTGGGGTGAGGGCCGCAGCTGCTGGAGGAAAAGACAGGCAGAGTGCTAACTGCTCCGCTTCTTTAGTCTTTTGGTCTTTCTCTTTTCTGCTCTTTCTATTATTATTATTATTATTATCACCATCATCATTATTATTATATGCATGTCTGTGTGTGTGTCGGTGTACATGTGTGTGTGTGCCTTAAGAGGCTAGAGGAAAACCTTGGGTATTCTTCCTCAGAGTCTCTCACAGACCTAGAACTTGCCCAGACAAGGCTAGATGGACATGGAGCCCCAGGAATTTGCCTGTTTCTAACTCTCTGATCCTTGGATTACAAATGCCCACCATCACACCTGACTTTTAAAATGTGGGCTCTAGGGATCAAACTCAGGTCCTCTTTGGAGACTGAACTCAAGTCTTCATGCTTACAAGACAAGGCCTATGCTGATGGAGCAATCCCTCCTGCTCCTATGGCTCCAAGAGGGAATAGAGAAGGACTTTGTCTGTGAAGCATTTTGCTAAGCATCCCCCCACCCAATCTGGCTCTTCATTGTCCATATTCCACATAGGAGGCCACACTGAAGCTTTGACAAATTTGCCTGGAATTCTACCTAGCCCGGCTCCCCATAAAAGTCAGCCTCTCTAACGCTTCTCTCTTGGGCACAGGTATCAATGGCTTCTGAACATTTGGAGACACGAGCCCGGAGTGAGCTAGCAGACAGTTTCCTGACTCCTGGAAGGTCATGGTCAGACTAGGGAAACTGATCCTGGTGCTTGGGGCCAAGTTCCAGGTGAGGCCATCCAGGCTTTTGGCAGGCTGGTGTGTGGTGGTTTCTGAGCCTCCTAGGCATATGGGGGCCCCTGACCCCTGCAGGCCAATGAGGGCTTGCTAGCTGGAGGGTGGAGGGAAGACTTCAAGGACTTACACTCAGTGAAGGGAACGATGACCTGTAAGACAACAAAAGGTACAGAGATATTGGGAAGAGAATGTTACTGCCCGAAAGAGGTCCCTGGGTCAGTGCATTCCCTAATCTCCACCCATTCTCATCTCAACATTGCCCTTGGAAACCCCACTGTTATCTCAAACTCAATATACACAAGATAAAGGCATTATTTTGCTTTCCAGATAGGTGCCCACCTCTCAGCTCTCCCTGTCTGTTACGATTCCACCACATCTGGGCCTCAGAAGTCCCCTGCTTACTAAGTCATGCATCCCATGTGGTCACCTGGATGAAGGGGTACCCATTCCTTCACTCAAAGGTCCTACTTGCTCACCAGCGCTCCTAGAAAGCCTGCTACTTCATTTAGAGGTAGCAGCCTTGCTGCTCCTGCAGGGTCTGTAGAGCAGCTGTGTGGGTGTGTGCTGGCCACAAGGCATGCCCTGCCCACCAAGCACCCGAGGAGCGCCAGTCTGCCTTTTAAAAGCTTTCGGGTGGTTGATCTGCACTTTAGTTTGATCAGGGTACAGGATGTGCCCAGTGTTCTAACTGAAATATCTCTAATTCTTTTGATCTTCTTCGATCTTCTGCTCCCCGTGCCAGTTCAGGGTGAACCAGTGTATTGGTGTAACTGACATTCCCCAGTTTGTGTCTGAGCCCCGTTCCTTTCGCTGCAGTTTGGTCTTTCATCAGCCCCGTCCTTCGGTGCCTGCCTCTGACTCCAGCATCTTTCTAGCCCTGCCTGGAAAATAAATACATATTTTTAAGTTGACTAACATCCACCAAAATAAGACCTGAAGAATAGACTATAGAAAGGCATTGCAGGGGCTGGAGAGATGGCTCAGAGGTTAAGAAGACTGGCTGCTCTTTCCAGAGGTCCTGAGTTCAATTCCCAGCAATTGTATAGTGGCTCACAACCATCTATGAGATCTGGTGCCCTCTTCTGGCGGGCAGGCATACATGCAGACAGAACATTGTATACATATTAAATAAATTGAAAAAAATGCTGCTTTAAAGAAAGGCTTTGCGATAGGATCCGTAGATGAGGCAAGGGCTCAGGAATGGGGCAGTCAAGAAAGAATTCCTGGTGCCTTGAAGGTTGTGTAAGAGAGATGATCATGTACCACTAAAAGTCACCTGGGACTTCCCACCACCTTCGAAAGAGTGAAAGAAACATTCATCTGGACACAGCCTCAAAGGCTTCACCCTCACCACCATTTACCTTTTCCTGCTCACTTCCCATTGTTGCCCCAGCTGAAGCCTCTGTGGCAGTCTTGGTCTTTAGGAAGTTTTGAGTTTAGCGATGGAAAGGGGTTTAGACACCCTATGATACTGACCATAGACCAGGGGTACAGGACATGGAGGAGGGGGTGCTGATAACTGAGGAAGATGTCCCCTACAAGGTCTGAGATGAATCCTCCAAGATGATAGCGTGAAACAGACCAGGGGCTGAAGAACACAGGGTGGGGTGGGGCGGGGCTGGAGAGCAAGGCTCTGAGAAATGAGAGGGATCCGGCAAGGCTGGGACACTCTAGGGATGGGCGTGGAGAAAACAGGCTTTTGGACAGATGAAGAGCTAAGTCTACATCAATGCCTTTCCACATTCTACTCCTCAAGACTTATTTGGGTGTGTGATAGTCAACTTAAAAATATATATTTAAGCCTGGTGTGGAGCGCATGACTTTAATCCCAGCACTCTGGAGGCAGAGGCAGGCAGATCCCTGGGAGTTCAAGGCCACCCTGGTCTACAGAGCGAGTTCCAGGACAGCTAGGGATGTTACACAGAGAAATCCTGTCTCAAATTAATCAACCAATCAAACAAACAAAATATATGTTTATTTTTATTTTATGTGTATAAGTGTTTTGCCTGTGTGTATGTATGGGTACTGTATGTGTACCTGGTACCCGGGGAAGCCAAAATAGGAGTTGGAGTTACAGATGGCTGTGAGCTGCCATGTAGTTGCTGGAAATTGAATCAGGGTACCTCTGCTAAAAATGACAAGTTCTCTTAATTGCTGAGCCATTTCTCCAGCCCTGCTAATCAATTTTTGATGCATAAATATCTTGAGTCTTCTACTAAGCTGTAAATCTTTTGCAACCAAGGATTGCGTTTTATTGTTTCCCATATCGGCCACTCCCAATATTATACATCACACCATGCTACATGGCAGGCAGGTGTTATGAACTCAATAAAAGTTGGATTATAGGCTCTAAATTACATGTCACAGGATGACAGTTATTAATTTAACTGACCACTAGGGGGCAGCAAGTTGCAAGTTTTAATTCCATCCACAAACTTCAGTATCCCTGTTGAAGATGGATTTGACTTTGCTCAGATGTGTGGCAGGCCATGTTTCTGGGGGGTTCCTGAAGCATCTGGTGGGTAGGTGGGGGGAGGAGATAAATCTCTTGCTGGAAAGGATTTATAAGATGCCGTTACAACATCCAACGAACCCTCCCCTGCCTCCACACATACCGCTGAGGTTTGTTTGCAAGACAGAAGCCTACCATAAGATCTGCAGGAACAGGGCAGTGACCCACCCCACTGAAAGTCTTGGCGTTTTTCTTTGTTTGTTTTGGTTTTGTTTTAATAATACATGGCTTCAATTTGTAGCTCAGGTTGGCCCAGTTTTCTATGTAGCCCATCCTGACCTTAAACTTGTATGTATCCTTGTATATTCTTTTCCTGAGACTCTCAAGTGCTGGTATGGCCGGTGTGGAGCCACCACACTGACTTTGAAAGCCTTAGCCCACTCCACTGGGATGTTTCAGCAGACAGAGGCTTATAGGAAAGCCTTGTAAAAACAGCGCCTCCCTCCCCGACTTACACCCTGGTCTCCCCTCTTTCAGTTTTAGGGGGCTATACAGTAGTAGTGTCTTAAAATGGGCTGGAGGAAGGAGCCATCACCTGATGGCTACCTCATCTTGGACATTGACCTTTCTGCCTTGGAAAACTGACACACACACAGACACCCTTGCCAATGATTGTGAGGAGAAAGTGGAACGTCTCACACGCATGTTTCATACAAGTTTGTTGATTTTGCTTTTTGCTTTTAATTTTAGACACAGGGTCTCATCCTGTCACCCATGCTTTCCCAGAACTCACCGTGTAACCCAGAATGGCTTCAAACTCTCAGCATTTCTCCTGTCTCCGTCTCCTAAGTACTGGGGTTGCAGGTGCGAACCATCACGCCTGGCTCTTGTGTGTATGTGTATATATTGTTCGTTTGAGACAGGGTCTCACCGTGTAGCTCGGTCTGTCCTGGAGCTCATTGTGTATCCTAGGCTGGCCTCGAACTCACAGAGATCTGCCTGCCTCGGCCTCCCTAATGCTGGGATTAGGTGTGCGCTTCCGTGCCTGGCATCCTTTTATATTTTTGAAGACCGTACCCAGCATGGTTATGTGAGGGGAGGAGGGAGAAGGCTCAGGCATTTCCTGGCTGCATATATGTGCCTTTGTAAGCCAGGAAGGCATGCATGCATGAGATGTGTGATATGAGCTAAGTAAGCTCAGTCCATTTCCCCGAGGACCTGGTACGTATAGTACAATTTGACCCTTAAATTCCCACACTTAGTGGTTCCCTATTATTTCAGGCAGGATCATTTCCCTTTTTGCAATTAGATCCAAATGGTAACAGTAAATCCTTATACTTATATATAGCATGGTACAACTTACCAGGCATATTCCCTCTTATTGTCGGCAGACTTAGAGAAGGCCCCCAGTAATCCCCATCCCTGGGACCCACGCCTTGTATGCTGCTCTCACTAACTGTGTGAATGTAGCCCATGACTTGCTTCTAACCAGCAAAAAAGTAGCAAAGATAATGAGAACTCACTTCTATGGGCAGGTTCAAGATTCATTTTTTTTTTTTTTCATGAGGCAACTCTTTGTCTTTGCTGCAGTGAGCTGCTATGTGGGAGATCCATATGACCAGGCATTGCAGGTGGACCATGGCCAACAGAAAGCTGGAAACTGAGGCCCTTAGTTCATGGCCCAGAAGAAACAGAACCGTTACAGCATCACACTGTGAGATCAGAAGCAAGTCTGTTTCCTACCCACCCAGTCAAGCTTTCGGATGAAACTGCCACCCCAGCCCATGC